GACTCTATGTGTCCCTTTCACATCGATGTTTCTCTCTCTTCCTCTCTCTTTCCTTCCTGCTCTATCTGAATAAAAAATGGAAAAATGTCCTCAGGTGAGGATAAAAAACAAACAAACAAAAGAAATGGAAAATAAATTAGGCAAAACTACAGGGAAATTGGAATCCTTGTACACTGTTGGTAGCCATGTAAAATGGTACAGCAGCAATGGAAATCAGTACAGAGGTTCCCAAAAAAATTTTTTTAAAGAATTACCATACAATTCAGTCATTTCACTTTTTTTCCCCCCAAAATCTTTATTGTTGGATGTAAAATGTATTACAGATGTTCCACATTTTTCCCCCATTGACCCCCTCCTCCCCACTCCCGCCCCCCTCCCACCTTTTCCCACACTATTGTCTGTGTCCATTGGTTATGCATATAAGTTCTTTGGTTTATTTCGTCCCACCCCCAGCTGGCTTTGTCAGTCTAGCAATGAATTTGTGCTTCTTAATCCCTTCACCTTTTTCACCCATTCCTCCAAACCCCTTCCCAACTGGCAACCAACAAAATGTTCTCTGTATCTATGAGAATGTTTCTGTTCTTCCTGTTCATTTTGTTTGTAGATTCCATTGTTGATAGATATGTATTCATTGCCATTTTGTTTGTTCATACATTTTATCTTTTTCTTCAAAAAGACCCTTCATCATTTCATATAATAACGGTTTGGTAGTGATGAACTCCTTTAACTTTTTCTTGTCTGGGAAAGTTTTTATATGTCCATCGATTCTAAATGACAGCTTTGCAGGATAGAGTAATTTTGGTTGTAGGTTCTTGGTTTTCATCACTCTGAATATTTCTTGCCATTCCCTTCTCGCCTGCAAAGTTTCTTTTGAGAAATCAGCTGACAGCCTAATGGGAACTCCCTTGTAGGTAAATAGCTGCCTTTCTCTTACTGCTTTTAAGATTCTCTCTTTGTCTTGAACCTTTTGCATTTTGATGATGATGTGTCTTGGTGTGGGCCTCTTGGGGTTCATCTTGTTTGGGACTCTCTGTGCTTCCTGGACTTGTACAGGTATGTCTGTTTCCTTCACCAAGTTAGGAAAGTTTTCTGCCATTATTGTTTCAAACAGGTTTTCGATTTCTTGTTCTCTCTCTTCTCCTTCGGGCACCCCCAAGATGCGAATGTTGGCACGCTTGAAGTTGTCCCAGAGGCTCCCTACACTATCCTCATTTTTTTGGATTCTTTTTTCTTTTTGCTGTTCTGATTGGGGATTTTTTGCTTCCTTATATTCCAAATCGATGGTTTGCTCCTTGGATTTACATACTCTATTATTGAAGCTGTGTAAATTATTCTTTATTTCAGTTAATGCCTACTTTAATTCTGTGTATCCATGATTTCTAACTGGTCCTTTTTTATGCTCTTGAGGCCCTCCCTAAGTTCACTGAGGTTCTCACTAAGTTCATTGAGCATCCTTATAAGCAGTATTTTGAACTCAGTATCTGTTAGGTTGCTTATCTCCCTTTCGCTTAGTTCTTTTATTGGGGTTTTGTTCTGTTCTTTCATTTGGGACCTGTTTCTTTGTTTCCTCATTTTGGCTGCCTCCCTGTGTTTGTTTCTGTGTATTACTTAATGAGAGGTATGGGGCTCGCTGAGACCCGGTGCTGCTCGTTTGAAAGAATTTAGGAAAAACCTGAAGCAGGATCCAAGACCGGCCAATCCTATGGTTAAGCAAGTGGCAACAGTTTGGGTGGGCCTGAAAGTTGGGTGGGGCGGGGCGGGGCCTCAGGGAGTCACCTGGGCGGCGCTACCAGTGTGAGCCAGGTTGCTGGAGTCCCAGATATGGTGGCTGTCTGCCGCCCCAGGGAAGGGCTCACCAAAGGAACAAAGGCCTCTGATAGCACGTTTGTCCCCGAGGAAGCCCCCTCTCCAGCCCTCGCTCCAGTGCCAAACAGCTCAGTTCTTCCCTGTATGTCTCTGGCGCCCCTCGAGCTGCCTCCCCTCCGAGCTTAGAGGGAGAGAGTCCGATAAGTCCGTGCGCCGGCCCTTTAGGGAGCTGCCTGGGGCTCCAGCTGCCTCAGCTTCCCTGAGCCTCAGTTTCCGCTGGTTTTTCCAGCCAGAAGTTATGGGGATTCTCTTCCTGGCACTGGAACCCTGAACGGGGCACCTGGTGTGGGACGGGGACCCCTCAGTCCTCAGGGAGGACCTTCCCAGCCGCGGGAGCCTCCTGATTTTTATCCACCACGCTTGGGTGTGGGACCAGCCCGTCGCGCCACCGCTGCCACCGCCCCCCCTCACGCCGCCGCCTGTCCTACCAGTCTGGATGTAGCTGCTTTTTTTTTTTCTTAGTTCCGTAGTTGTACGACTTCCATTCAGCTTGATTTCAGGCGGTTTTGAATGATGGTTGTTCTGTAGTTTAGTTGTAACTTTGATGTGGTTGTGGGAGGACGCGATACCGCGTTTACCTACGCCGCCATCTTGACCGGAAGTCCAGTCATTTCACTTTTGCATATATATCCAAAAGAATTGATAATAGGGTCTTGATAATTTTCACAACCATGTTCATTACATTATTATTCACAATAGCCAAGATGTGGGAGCAATCTAAACATCCATCAGCAGATGAATGGATGAAGAAAATGTAGGCTATACAAACCCTAAAATATTATTCAGCATTCAAAAAGAAGGAAACCCTGTTATATGGTTACAGCATGGATGAATCTTCAGGACATTAAGCTAAGTGAAAAGAGCCAGTTACAAAAGGACAAATACTGTATTATTCTACATATATGAGGTATCTAAAGTAGTCAAACTCAGAAACAAAGTGGAGTACTGGTTACCAGGGGCTGGGAGAAAGGGACAAAGGGGAGTTGTAGGGCTTCAGTTTTGTAAGTTTTAGAAATCTGTTGCATAACAATGTGCATATAGGTACCACTCTACTGTACACTTAAAAATGGTTAAGATAGTAACTTTTTTTTTTTACTTTTTTTTTAAAATTATTTTACCACAAATTATGCAGTCGAGTTTCCCACATTTGGGGAAATCGCAGGGGTCAGCACATCCGAAGTGCAATGGATAAGCCTCGCCCTGGGGAAACCTTCGTGATCATGGTATCTCCCCTGCCAGGTAAGTATAAGATAGTAACTTTTATGTTATGTGCTTTTTACCATAATTAAAAGTAAAAACAAGCTAACCAATTGCAGTATATGGAACTCATTTGTACCTTGATTCAAAGAAACTATAAAAAATAGAATGTATGAGACTATAGGGAATAATTGAATGTTGACTGGATGTTTAATGTAGAAACATTGATTTTGTGTGTGTATATAATGAATGATATTTTTTTTTTACTTGATTTCTCTTCATTTAGATAATCTAAAATATTTATGGATGAAATGAGGTCTGTCTTATTGGAGTGATCACTCCATAAGGAATACAAATATCTACATAATCACTATGTTGTACACCTGAAAACAATATATTTTATGTCGGTTGTATATGATAAATAAATTTAAATTAAAAAAATAAAAAAATGTTTTAAATGATGTCTGAGATTTGCTTTGAAATAATCCAGTGGGAATGAGAGGTATGACGGAATCAAGATGGCCAGGAGTTGAGACTTATTGAAGTTGGGCAATAGGTACATGGAGGTTCATGTATTCATGTTTGGTCTACCGTGGTATGTTTTATTTTTCCATAACAAAGACTAAGATAAACATAAAGCAAGTGCCTCTGGGAGGCTTCAGGGAACGAACACTTCGCCTTGAACTCATGTTGTAAGACTCTGCTCCTCACCTTCAGCGGGGGGCCCGGGCCCATCATGGATCCGGCTGTTCTGTGGATAGTCAGCCTTCTCTGAAACCTCTGGGGTCTGCAACCGCTCTTCCACCAAGTGACAAAACAAGGAACTCAGCCCGTCAATCTTTAGTGAAAAAAACTCAGGAGCAGTCCTGGCTGGTTTGGCTCAGCGGTTAGTGCGTCGGCCTGCAGACCAGAGTCCCAGGTTCGGTTCCCTCTAAGGGCACGTACCTCGGTTACAGTTTGTCCCCGGCCCCAGTTGGGGTCATGTGGGTGGCAGGCACTTGATGTGTCTCTCACATCGATGTTTCTCTCTCTCTCTTCCTCCCTCTCCCCCTCTCACTCTATCTGAAGATAAATGTAAAAGTGTCCTCGGGTGAGGATAAAAATAAAAAAACAAAACAAAAAACTCAGGAGCAGCAACTTGGGCTTCGTTGAGAAGCTCATTGTTTTACTGACATCTGTGAGTTGTGGTTTTAGGACTGTTTTATTTCAGTAAGCATGCCTAGTTTGGGTAAGGAGATTTTCTACCCAACATTCTATGGTGTCCTGCAAAGGACAGCAGGCCACTCCCGTGCACCAGCGCCCGACACGCTGACAGCCAGTGAGGGCAGGGCCTCTGCCCAGGTGGAGCAGGGGACAGGGAAGGGAGGACACCACCAGGAAAGAAGGTCTGATGGTCACCAGGCACAGACAGAAAAGAGGCAGCAAATTCTTTGCACCTACTTGTTAAGTTGTTCTCTAGAAGAAGGAGGAAAACTTTGTTCCGCTCCCCGCACTGCCTGGCTCGGTGGCCCAGCGCTCCCTTCCCCGGCTACTCCGCACAGAGAGCAGTGCTAGTCAGGAGGCTGCAGTTACTCAGCCTGAAGCTTAAAACAGCGGGGACATGGAGGCCGCTCAGCTCCTCACTCTCACCCCAGATCTCCCCTTCCTGTTATTGCAGTAGGGTGAGGACAGTAACACCCACACCAAATACCCGAGGGAAACAGAGCCCCGGGCTAACTTGTACTGCCACTGGGATTTATATTCTCATAGTTTCATGGCTGCAAGAGGCCCTTATGGAAGGTACGTTTGCTGAAACAGAATGTAATGACAACAATCGAAGTAATTGCTATTATCTATACTGGTGGTTAAAAAAGAAACTACTTTCACAAGAAGAAAGTTGTAACACTTTAATAATTTAAATAGAATTAATGTCAGGAACATACACACACATACATAAACAATGTAATTAACAGTGTTAAAAGTCCCCAAAATGGACTCAAAGTCATGGACAGGAAAAGGTCATTTTAAAGTACTATAGACCAGAGTAAAACAAACAAGGTAATTACTTTGCATTTACCAATAAGACAACAGCCTGTGGATACATTAGACCTTTGTGATAACACTTCTAGGGAATGGTAGAGCAAAGAGTCATTAGAAAAGGAATACAACTGATCTCAGAAAGATAGACGTATAGCTAACAATTTCTTTGGTCCTCCAAGTCACACCTGTTTTTACTTTAAAATACCAAACATGAGTTGAGTGCTTAATTCTACTTCTAAAGGTCTAAATATTAAGCAGAATAATGTTTATATTAGTTTTGATTTAAAAATAAAACTCAAAATCAACCACCACTGTACTTAAGAAACTTCAAACATAGAAAAATAGAGGAAACAGAAGTTTGGCATTTTTTTTTAATTTCTGCCATTTTGTCTCATCATAAGCCAAACAAAGTGAATCATAGTTGCAGAGATAGGACCAGCGAAGTTAAAGCAAGCACTGTAGTTAATTCTTAAGGTAATGGAATACATTTGAGGAGCATTAGATTAGCCCAATAAGAGGCTTCTCCGTGGAATAATTAATTGTGTTTGTGTTTTTGCTGGGGAGTTATTTTGTTTGTTTCCATTTGGCCCACACTGCCCCAGTAGAGGAAACTTTAAGATAATAATTAATAAGGCAACAGCTTCCTAGACAAAATCACGTGGACCTCTTGAGCAGTTATGCTAAAGACAAGACCCTCACGGGCCTCGAGGGAAACTGCGATGGGGGTTTCCGGTATTTCCCAGTGATTCCAGAAGATGATGGTGCATTTTCACAGACACCAACACTGTAGTTGTCCTTAGACACTAGGTACGGCTAGAATGCAGTCCACAGTTCGTTCATTCTGCATTCTCTCATGTTCACGGAAGCTATGGTTCTGTGGACCTGAACGTGATGACCACTCAAAAGTTTCTGGAATATTTAGAAGAACTATTGAGAAGATTTAAAAAAAAAAAAAAGTTTTGAGGCATCTGCAAGAAACACACAAAGGAAGCTCCCAAAAAACTTCAAAAGGTAGAACTTCAAGGACTAGTTATTTGCAGTGTCACTACTAAGTCTTATAAAATAATGGCTTTTAAATAAAGGCAAAGGTATCTACACTCCAAATGGTGTGATATTCTCATCAAGGCACAGAGAGTTAAATGTCTCAATCCCTGCATGTTGACGTGAGAATACACTCGTAAACAGCTCCAGGAACTGATTCCCTACATATGAATTTTAAAAAGAATAGAAGGTAGAAATGTGCCTTTTCAACTCACAGTAAAAACAACAACAACAACAACAACAACACATATTGCACCACCTTGCCTTGGTAACTAACACTACAACTAGACAATTAAAAAATAAATATATAAAAAGTAAAGTGTCACTAGTGGGTAAAGTGGAGCCTGGTGGACGGGATTTGCAGAGCTGTGCTGCACACCGTGTGATAACATATTGTGAGCACTATACCATTTTTGTTTGGGGAGTGAAAAAGCAGTATATTGGCCATAGTTTTCTCCCATTCCCAACACTCCTACACTTGTGAACCAAATAATCAGACTATCTGAACAAAACACACGAGTTCTTCTCTCTGCCAGCATCCCCGGGAGTCTGAACGGCAGTGGTCGTGTGCATATAACTTCACGCTATTGGCAGTGTGCTTACATGTTACCACCATACGGTGGCGAGAAGAAAGTAGAGGGCTTGCCCCTTTATTAAAATTATTTTTATTTGACTTGCAATAAATAATTATTAAACACAATTAATGACAAGGAGTAAGTTTCACGTCTGTTGACGATTGAGAACGGAATTGTACGGACGATGAAGACCAGAGACCAGACAACCAACGCTGCTAGAGGCGTGATCTGCAGAGCACGGGGCACACACGGAAAGTTCAGCTCCTAATAAGAGTGAGAAACTCTTCCCGAGTCTTTGGATCTTCCCGGAACACACCCAACATCGTGCTGGTCACCGTCTTGCTGTTCATTTTCTGTACCCCTCGCATGACCATACACATGTGCCTACAAACAAGCCAACACGGGGTGAACAGGCGGTTACTGGTTTGATTTTTAAAATAAAAAACAGGCCAAAAAAATTAAATCTGATTAAACTGAGTTCACAAGGACCAAGTTTGTCACTTAGACAAATTTCATCTAAAAAAAATTATTTTTAGTTTTATAGCTTTTGTTCTTCTCAGTGGTCGAGTCCGTAAGGCATCCAACAGGAGAGGGGAAATGGAATATTCCTGGGTGAAAATAATACAAGTGGTCTACGGAGATACAACTTCGACACGGAGAGAAATCCAGAGTTCTCACTTGCTCCATGTTCAGGTGTCAGAGGTATTCAGAGAAACAGTGAAGTAGGCTGGACTCACCCCGGAGTCCAGGACGACACCACAGTGAGTCTCAGCGGCCGGGTGGAGCTGGACACAGTACAGAGTCCACGCCACACCGGAGAACGGACGAGAACTTTGCCCACAAGCCGTGTGCAATTCTCATAGTGAGTTCTAACTTAAAGAAGTGTCTTCTGGTGGCCTTTGTACCCATTCTTAGTTCTATTTTTCAGATATGTGTCAAAATATTAGAAAAACTCTGCCTGGAGCAACAAAAAGCTAAAGAAGAAATCAATACATACAACACTGTTGCTTGTGGGAATCATACCCCTAAGCTTACAACTCCCTACTCTTCCACAAACCCCCCAACCCCCACCCCCACCAAAATAGTCTCCCATGCCCTGGTTCCCACATGCAACACAGTCAACGAAATGAATATCATTTTCAGGCACCACTGCAACATTCTTAAAGGCAAATGCAGACTTACGTTGCTTCAACCACCACCCCGACTCCAGCAGGTCGCAAGGCTTCCGTGATTGCTACGGCAATTTGTTTCGTCAGGCGCTCTTGAACTGTGGATGTGACAGGGAGCTCGGTTTGAGTACCTGACACAAACTGCTGAAAGGTTTTGCTGTCTCTCAAATATACAAAAATCTTATATGCATGAACAATGGACATGGACAACAAAGCTGGGGACAGGGCAGGGAGGGAGGGGGAGGGGGGAATCAGTGGGGGGGGAGAAACTCTGTAACAAAAATTAATTAATAAAAAATAAAATAAGTCAAAAATCTTGAAAGGCAGACTTCTGTGAGATTTCAAAGCCAAGATACACCAGCTTCTACCAGCTGGCTTTGCCTGCTGGCTGGGCCACAGGATGCGCCTGCTCCGCCCTCCGGCCTGCAGTACAGGTGCTGACAGAGCTCCGAAGCCCTGGGCCTCCAGCACCCCTGGAGGGAATGGATTAGAGCAGCAGCTGTCTCTCAGGTGTGCAGTGAGACCAGCAGAATGTTGATCACACCACCTCCACAGAGGCAGAGCGGAGCAGAAGAAAACAGCTCGTCAACAGGATTAACAAAGGGGTTACCGCCTGATTATTGCATTGTACTTAGGGCGATGTTGAACACCAGTGATTTCACCTCAATAATGCAGTTCCTGTGCTGAATACACAAGTAATCTTTTAATACATATACATTCGCTGCAGCATTACATCCATCTGAAAGCTTGCAACATTCCCACATGTCTATCAGAGCAGGGATTGATTCAGTCAAGCAGCAGCACAGCCGGAATGCTGAATGGCAGGCAAAACCAATGAGATCCTTACAGTCTGTGGGGGGCATATGTCTAACATGTAAGGGGGAAAATAATAGGGGGGAAGATAAGTGAAGCCCATTATGTATAATAAGAGCCCGTTGTGAAATGTAATAAAAATAAATTGATTTTAACATATTCATATATGCATAAAAATGTGAACAAATGTGTACAGAAGACATTTTCTGTTTTATATTCCTATGAGGTTTTAATTTTCTGTCATATGTATTATACATATAATAAGAACAACAACAAAAATGCTTTTTCCTTAAGAAAAATTTTTCTGCAAAAAGAGAGTTTTAAAATTTACCTTGTAATCTTCTGCTATAGATTTCTACAATCCTAAAAAAGAAAGGTTTGTTTTAGTTCATCATAAATGTTTTAAAGTGAAATTACTAAGGCTTCCTCATAAGACTAAAAGGACTTTATTGAAGCCATTGTAGGGTGTGGGCAGGAGATTAGTGTTTACAGGACAGAAAGGTATAAAAACTACAGAAAAACGGGAAGAGGGAAGGTCTAAATGAGGCCAGCTGTCACAGAGCAGTGCTTCCCTACGCCCCCAAAGGAAGAGAGAATTAAGAGTGTGTAGTTCACTTACAGAAAACACAAATAGAGATGAGTAATCTTAAAGCTCCCAAGTCATCAAATCTAAGCCAAGTCTCAAGTGTTCTAATTAATCATATTGTTAATCAGAGCTTAAAGTTCAAGTTAAAAATAAAAAGACTGTTTGTTAATTAATAGCCAGACCACTGTCAGGTACCGTACCAACTAAACCTATGAGAATAATCAGATTAGAACTGAACAGATTTCTTCAGATATCTCTTTACATAATAGGTCCAAATCAGCAATCAATTTGATTAACCCCCTCCCAAAATGAAAGCTTACCGAGCTTATAACACAATCTGTCAAGTGATGATTTTTCTCCTTTCAACAAATGTAAAGATGGTCATGTGAATCACCCATTTTCTTTTTTATTATTGATTTTTAGAGAGAGAGAAACAAAATTGATTTTTTGTTTAGAGAGAGAGAGAGAAAATCGATTTGTTGCTCCGCTTATTTATGCATTCATTGGTCGTTCCTTGTGTGTGCCCTGGCCCCAGATCAAACCCAAAACCTTGATATACAGGATGATGCTCTACCCAACTAAGCTATCTGGCCAGAGCTGTGAATCACCAATTTTAGAATAATTTACATTAAGGACCTTTTCTTTCTTTCTCTCTCTTTATTTTTGCAATTTTTATTAATTTATTTTTGTTACAAATGTTTCTCCTTTCTCCCCCTACATACCCTCCTAGGACCTTTTCTTTAAAATTTGACCTTTTAGTCATGAATTTGGACTCAAGGATCACCTCGCTGTGAAGCATTTTAAAGCTCTTCCCACCAATGTGACCTTCAGGTGTAACTGACAACTTGCTCCCTTATACCTGTTACAGCCAATAAAGTCAATAAATGGTCAACTGCCCTATTCACCACTCAACCTGAAGGCACGAGCCACTCTGATTCTTCTGTGTTCCTAGCAGGTCAACAACACTGAAGGAATTCCAATATATATATTTTTATTTTGAACAAAAACCTGAGAAAGAATAGCTCAACTCCTAGATAGAAAATATGTCTTACTCTTACTGGGTCAAGTTTTATGTATATTTCTTCTGATCATTTTCCAGGTGATTAATTTCTGTTATATAAGAGATGCCGTCGATTTGAAATTTAGTAATGTCTTCCTTCTCATAGTTATCATTTCTTTTTCTCAAGTAAAATTTCAGGTACAACATTAGATAACAGTGTTGATATTAGTTATCCGTCGTTTGCTCCATGCTTTAGTAGAAAAGCCTTCAACATTTTGCTGTCCCCCGTGTTGCCTGTTTCTGAGAGAGAGACCCCAAAGGAGGGTCTTTCATAGATATCATTGGGCACCTACTATGATTATGAGCATGTGGTGAACGGGATCCCCATGCTCAGAGAGTTTATTATTTCTTATTCTCAGTTTATTCATTTTCTTTTCAAGTATAAAGTAGGTGTTGAATTTCTGTCTTCTCAGCATTAAGAAAAATTGTATAGCTTCCATGAATGAAAAGATATGTACATTTTGCACCCTCATTCTTGAAGGTAATTTGTTGGGAGGTATTTGTTAGGAAGAGAATTCTAGTTTGACACTGATATTTATCTGCCTTTCAATACTGCCATTGGCAAACCAATGGTCAGTCTAAGTGCCGTTACCGTGTAGGTAATGTTTTTCTCTGTGGCTGCTTTTATGATATTTGAGTATGTGTACTCTGCAGGTTTCCATATTGTATCTAGGTGGAGATTTAATTTCATTTGTCCCGATTGGGATATATTATGCTTCCTGAAGCTGACGGCTGATATTTTACACGTGCTTGGAAACATTTCCAGCTGTTACCTTCTCTAACATTGCACCTGCCCACTGCCTGTCTCCTCCTGGAATTTTAATTAAGGGCATATTGGACCTTCTCAGTCTTCCACATCTCTTACATTCTCATTAACATGCTTCCATCTGTCTCTCTGTGTTGCACTCTGTGTGATTTCTTCAGAATTTTCTTCCAGTTCACTGATGAGTTTGGGCTGTGGCTAAAATGCTATTTAATGTGAGTGTATTGGGCTTTGGATTCAATTATCCCTTTCTTTGAAGAAGTTTTATTTGGTCTTTTGGGCCTGGCTAATTAATCCTTCGTCACGCTTTCAGTACTCTTACTTTCTAACATACTTGAATCTTCCCAAGCTGTTCACTCCAGAATCTGCCCTCTTCAACCACTTCCTTCGCCTGACTCTGACCCATAGCGGCTTGTTTCCCTTTTACTTTTGGTGAACTCATTCATGCTCCTTGAAACACCATTTCTGGGAATTCTGTGAAGGCTGGAAAAAGTGCATCAGAGAATATGCACTGGTTTCTGCTAGGCATTGGAAGGCTACCTCCTTGGTGACATTTTAAATTAAATTATTGGCTTGGGGTTTTTTGTGTGTGTGTTTTGAGCACCACACAGGTCGTGTGAATTCTGACGCCAGACTCCTATGAATAGATGTCTATGGACTCTTTCTCAAGCTCTCCCCAGAATAAGGCTAACAAGTAAGTATTCATCCAATTCGAGTGAATAAAGACAGAACCCTGACTTTGGCTCCACTTCTGGCTAATTCCTGTGGATTCTCATTGGAATCGCCTTATATTTTGCCCAGTGTGTGAAATGTTCACACACATTATATCATAGTTTGCTATACCAAGAGGGATATTATTGCAATCTAGTTTACCATACTGCCCAAATCAGTAGTTCTCAATTTTAGTCTAAACCATTTTTGTAATCTTGGAATAAACCATTTTGGGTCACGATGAAAACAATTCTTGTAGCCGGTTAAAATAGGATTTAAAAAACTTTTTTGGGGATTTTTAAAACTACATTCATAAGTGAGATTAGTCTATAATTTTTTAAATGCGAGTTTTATCAGGGATAGGCAACTTCATCAAATTGTTTGTAGAGCTTTTCAGGTTTTTCAATGCTCTTAAATTATTTATACAACATGGGAATTAGTGGTTACTTGGAAGTTGAAAAGAATGCCTATTAAATTGACTGGGTCCAGCCCCTTCCCATTCCACCCCACTCCTGACATTAATTTGACTTTTTCTAATGCTTACTAGTTTATCCAGGTTTTCTAACTCTCGATTCATTCCCTTCTCTTTCCATCTTTTTTTAAAACTTATTCTGAAGGATTTAAAGTTTTTATTGATTGATTGATTTTAGAGAGAGAAGGGAGAGGGAGAGACAGAGAGAGAAACATCGAAGAGAGAGTATCAACTGGCTGCCTTCTGTATGCCCCCCACTGGGGATTGGGCCCAAACCTGGGCATGTGCCCTGACTGGGAATCAAACCGGCGACCTCTTGGTGCATGGGTCGACGCTCAACCACTGAGCCACACTGGCTGGGTGAAAGATTTAAAGTTTTTAAAGCACGTTTTTAGTTACATAGCCTCTCATTCCAAGATATAGGCATTTACCCTCTCAGTCAGACTTCCAAGCAATCTACCACGCAAAGTTTTCAACATTTAGGTTTATGCTTCCTATTCTTTCAGTTTTCTGTTAATAATTTTTATTTTGTCTCATCTTTTCCTCATTTGTTGTTTTCTTTAAAATATATATTAAATGCTTACTTTATTTGTTGTCGGTGTTTCTTATTTAATAATGAAAGCACTTGTGGCTATAAATTTACCTCCAAAGACAGCTTTTTTAAAAAGTCATCTGTGAGGTATGATCGACATAAAAATTGTACAATATTTAACGTGTACATCATGGTGATTTCATACACATATACATTGTTAAAGGATTCCCCCACCTACATCCATCAATTATTTGTTTGGTTGTTTGTTTTGGTGAGAAAAATGAATAACATATCTCTTCAATATCTTGTCTTTATTTCCTTACGATATACACCCAGATGTGGGATTGCTGGATCATATGGAAGTTCTATTTTTAATTTTTTTAAAAACTTCCATAGTTTTCCATAGTGGCTGTACCAATTTATCTTTCCACAAACAGTACACAGGGGTTCCCTTTCCTCCACAGCCTTATTAACACTTATCTTTCTGTCTTTTTTTTTTTTAATCCTCACCCAAGGACATTTTTCTAATTTTTGTTCAGATAGAGTGGGAGGGGGAGAGAGAGAGAGAGAAACATCAACATGAAAGGGACACATCGAGTGGTTGCCACCCGCACGACCCATCCAGGGCCGAGGACAAACTGCAACCAAGGTTCATGCCCTTAGCGGGAACCAAACCCAGGTCTCTCTGGACCGCAGGCCGACGTTCTAACCACTGAGCCAAACCGGCCAGGGCATCTTTCTGTCTTTTTGATGAATGACCATTCTAACAGGTATGAGGTGACATCCCATTGTGGTTTTGATTTTTATTTCCCTGATGATTGGTAACATTGAGTACCTTTTTGTGTATGTGTTGGCTACTTGTCTATCTTCTTTGAAGAAATGTCTATTCAGTTCCTCTGCCCATAATTTTAATTTAATTGTTTGTTTCTTTGCTCTTGAGTTGTATGAGTTCTTTATATATTTTGGAATTAATCCTTATCAGATATAAAACTTTGCTGTGCACAAGTTTTTACTGATGTAGTCCAACTTATTTTTTTCTTTTGTTGCTTTTGCTTTTGTTGTCAAATTCAAAAATATATATATCTATATCACCAAGACTGACAGCAGGGGTTTACTCCTATGTTTTCTTCTAGAAGTTTTATGGTTTTAGGTTTTAATGTTAAAGTCTTCAATCCATTTTGAGTAAATTTTTTTTTTTTAATCATGAATGGATGTTAAATTTTGTCAAACGCTTTTCTA